CATGCGTACGTGTGTGTGTGTGTGTGTGTGTATGACGAAGCGACTCAGGTAGCCAACTCGTGCAAGCTTATCAACAGATTCATCTACTCGTGACTAGTTTTTTATACACCAAAGTGCAGAGTATAATCACCTAAACGCCAAAGTATCCCTTTCTCACCCACACCCTCGGTGCTGTCCAACATTACATTGATAGATTCGCGCCGAGATAGAGACACTCCAGACCGTACCCGTGACCGTGGAAGCGCTCGCCCGAGTGGTGGTAGAGCACTGCCGCAGCCCTCAGGCCCGCGCACGGGTGGTCGACCGCTGCCTTCGCCTCAGGGCAATCCTGCGTCAAGGCAACACTCGGGTGATAGGGCCCTGCCTCCCCGACCCGGGGGTGATAAGAACGCCCAACGTATGTCTGGTGTTTGTTGTGGGGCGGGGTGAGGTGGTTCATGGGAGTATGATGGTTTGTGGGCTGGGTTATTGAGTATGATGGTTTGTGGGCTGGTTTATGTGATTTTGATGGTTTGTGGGGTTGTTTGTGTGAGTATGATGGTTTGTGGGGTTGTTTGTGTGAGTATGATGGTTTTTGGGCTGGTTACTGTGTATTAGGTACAGCTGTAAGCAAGCTGGGTGAGGTATATTGCTGAAGCGCGTCAATGGTGGCATATCAGTGTGCGTCAGTCGTAGATATTAGAGTGTTTGTCCCCATGTATATTGAACGTTGCACATATGCCAAAAGTACTGTCACATTTGATGAAGGTGCGTGGACTGCGTATCAAAGGTCTACACTAGCACTATATACACATGCATGGGCGACACACTCGTGTGCCGGTACATCTTTTGAAATGACTCGCTTTCTCGATCAATGCATAGACTCTTCAGCTTGATTTTGCAGCGATATTGTGGTATAGCAAGGGATTGTGGTTGTTAAAACTCCAAGCTCACTTCAGTTTCCTAGGTATCAATCTTTCGCACAGTATGTTCACACTATGAACACTCTTGTTTTGTCGATGTACGCATTCACAGGCCTTCCAGCGAAACCCAGCATGCCCAACAGACCTGGAGGCCCTCAAAGCCCAACTCTGCCCAAGGTACCCAGTAAACCCAATATGCCGAACCGCCCAGCCAAACCTACGTGAACTGCTCGAAGCATTGGGTAGTGAGGAAGTGTGGAACAATCAACCGGCCAATATATGTGGTAGATTGGACATCGTGGGCCTAAGTTGTCTGCCTATAATTAAAAATAATAAATTGAATTTGTAGCCAACACAGTATGTCGGTTGATTAAGATGGACTGGGTTTGCTACTGATGGTATTGCAAAATGTTCTGTTTCTTTCTCTGTCGAGCGAGTAGATGGGCGAGTGGAAAAGTTATTCCTATAAAAAATATAAACAACACTTTACGCGCTTTGAGGGAAAGTAGAATGCAGTGATGTGGCTCCACTATTGATAACAGCACATGGTCTTTGGTCGGGTAGAATGCCCATCAAACCCGGCATGAAACAAGTCGTCTCATGACACTCAAACTGTCCAAATGTCCTAATTTGCCCTATGGCTTGTATGTATTATCGAGCAGTGCAGTGAATCATTCTAAGAAAACGCCATAAATGAAACCTAGGTATGACGAAAACAAACGGGGTACTGTGAGCTGAGAGTCAATTATACCACCAAAATTGATCTTCCAACCTGTTCCGAAATATTTGGAAACAATTGGAGAAGCAACTGGCTGGAAGCCATAATGATGACAATCCAGACTTGATGCCAATTTAGGCGCTATTAGAATGAGAGTTGTCGAACATTGATTTGAGAAAATCTCATCCCTTCGCAGAGATCTAATTGAATAAATATGTCCGATTTTTCCGTTCTAGAAGGGACTTCTGAATGAGTTGATGTGAAGTTAACCCTAATTCAGACTACATTTAAGTGACCGAGCGACTGTATTAATAAATAAAAATACTACGTTCTATCATGAGATTAGATCTCAAAAAAAAACCCCCTTTTTATGGTACCATCAGTGGAGAATGCCTAACTGCTTTGGGTCGTGCGGTCCGACCTTGAGTCCGTAAAACTGGCCAAGTGCGACAGTATTTGCGTATCAGCGCGTATACACAAAATCCTGGAGGAAAATCCGACACCAATTGAAGCTTCTGTGGCATTTACATTTTGAAGCTGAGTTGAGAATTCAAATTGCAAAATTTCGATGAGAGAAGAATGTGGGCTGGCTCGCAACCAACGCGGCATACTGCCGAAATATGACGCAGGATAACTAGATGGATACTGATTCAACCCCATAGATGAGCAATTAGCCGACTTCGTGAAAACTGAGCAATCGATTCGTATTGATTTTAGAGCTTGGGATCCGATTTCAAGGTTTCTCGTCATAAAGTAATGATGCAGACAAATCGCATATCGACGATGATACGTCAGTATTTCAAGACTAGAATCGGGGTTTGGAATACCGTGTATGCAAGCACAACTCCTATGTGTCGTAGGACACTTCTCAAGATCAACCGGGGAAAAAAAACATTTTCATTTCCCGGAAATAACGTCAGCTGCAGATGCTAATAGAAAGCTGCAAAAATGCTTAAGTCCAAAAGACGTGTAGGCTGATATTGAAAACAAAACCGATACTCAGTCGTTGACTTCATCTATCTTTCTGTTGTGTCGTCAAATCATTTCAAACTATGCGGAACTGGAAGAAAATATTACACTGCCCTTTATATCGATCGTAATACAGCGGAAATGAAGTTCAGGTCATGGGTCTAATTCAAGCGTATGATGTATGTTTTGGCCGATGTTCGCTTTACAGGCTGAAGCAAAGGTTCAAGAGACGGTTAGAAATGCAAACGAGTGCACTAGGAACTGCGTATTAGTCTTGGACATACGAAGCCCAAGTCGTTGCCTACTAACCTGCCGGGGTTTAGGGTTTGGACGATTCTGTCAAATCGGGTCTAATTTTCAGAAGGCGATGCAACTCGCAACTTTTATTTTATTTTATAAACACTTTTTTTTTGCTATATTGATCCGAGATTGCCGAGCTACAAAATTTCAATGAATTCTTGTATATCGTGGTAAACAAACGGCTAAAAATCACCCTTCTAACAAATCGTGTAAGAATAGTTGAACACATAGTTTTTGTTTTTCAAAAATTCATTAAACAACAAGGTGCTTAGAATTTGTTGTTAAAGGCTAACGAAAAACGGGAATACGTACCGTTAAAGTACGTTTGTCGACTGTGATGTAGAATAAGTAAAAACATTTCATTGGTAGGATGGAAAACCGCCCTTTTACAAATGTGGTGTCAAATGTTGTGTGTTTTCACTGTTTTGAGCGCTCAATTCAATTGTGCACACACACATATATGAAGTTGTCGGTTATAGGTAGATCCACACTCAATTATCTATGGAAACAGTACAGAGGGAACATAGTTGAATACGAACATAAAACGAAGAACATGAAGGAATCATATTGCACAAGTGTTATCGACTCGCAAACTATACCATATCGGCATCGCAACAGCAGGCTAATGTAGCATCGAACCCGAATACTATGGGGACGCAGCACACAGCATCGACTTCCTCAGGGATTGAAACCAGTCATATGTAGAATGCTAGCACACCGCCGTCAAATCAATCGATGGTGATCACTTCCCAAGCGTCTTCGAGCTCTTCAGGTACTTCATCGGATTCGCAAGGAGAGACAGATTTGGAGACATTATTTGCAAGACAGCCGTGACAAACAGACTAACTTCTTGGTGGAAAGATTCTTAATCTAGCTTTGCGATTGTGCAAACAAATAAGGAGAAATCTGGCCATCATGCGCCCACATTTATGGAATTCTTTAATGGTAAGATTTGTGCACTGATGTTGTACACGTACATATTGCCACGTGGGGAGGGTGACTTAGAAGCACTCTGTGCAGGTCCACTAACTACTGGTATGTCTAGTGCGATTGAACGGAAAGACACAAGAGTTTTTGATTGCACGGACTCCGGTGTGTCCACAACATCAACCGGACGTACACGCAGCGCCAAACATGACAGGCCATGAAAGAATTGGCGCGTTCAAAGGAAAGCAACGAAGCTATGAACGAAAAATATTTAAAGGGGGTACATATGTTTATTGATAGCGACAACGTGCGAGACATAGCTACACTTTTAAAAAAATACTGGAACTGAAGAAAGCTATACTAGAAGTTGATGTTGATGAAGAGCTAGAAAAAATGTGTACCAAAGCACTACAATAAGCAAAAGATGAGTTTAAGGCTCCACTAGGTTAATGTGTATACTACATAGTGTATAATGTAAATAAAAGAAAATAAAACAATTGTAGAGCAGCAGGTATTTATTATTTATATTATAAATATCTATATATATCTATATATACATATAAATACAATATATATA